GCAAAGAAAAAAACTGTAACGTCGCTGTTACATGCATGTCGTACAGGTGCAGTACGGAGAGAAATCTTCTCTTCGTTGTAGTACAGTTACAACTTGATGTTGGTGTAGCGTTCAATGCTAGTGCGCGATGAAGGACGCTTCCAATTACAGGAAGGTAGAATCAAGTCTTGTGTTCACAACGGAAATTTCCATTCCGTTCAACGCCATCTGCCTGCACAGCCGACATACGCATAATATTTCCGTCATTTCTTGAACACTGACGAAGTTAAAACCTTGTTCTAACAGGAGTACGCTTACATTACTATTTTCCTTGCATTCTTACAGGAGTTCTTATTGGTGTTTTAGGCATATAACTGTTTCTTCCTTAGTAAAATAAGAATGTAACGTAAAATTTAATTACTCGTTTGTGTGAGATTTGAAATTTTCACGGCGGTAAAGCCAACTGCATTGTTCTGGATTCTGGCGCTCTGTAAACTCCCAGGTAGATGTATGTTTCTCCAAAACGTTGGCATCTAAATACGAGTCTGCAAGGCGCCAAAACCCAGGAAAACAACATAATCAAACTCTATTACGTCTGTTAAAGCAATTTAATATTTGACAGATAGTTGACACGGTCAACATAAATGTTTTTTGTTATCAAGTAACCTATCACACATAAAATATCCGCAGCAAAGATGGGCATTTATTTTCACTCGGGAACCGGATGGTATTTTGATGGATGGTATGTTTCAAAGTAATCACTTATTCGTGCTGAACATATGCAAAATAATATTAAGTTATAAATTAAATCGGACACAATATCCTCACCTCTGGCGTTCTCAAGAACTGAACGTAATCTGGGGTACGCCCTGGTACATCGTCTCGCATCCAGTTGCAGGTTACGCTAACATAGCAGCGAACACGTGCAAGAACTCGAAACCCCAGAAAATGCATATCAGTAGACATTTAGTTTCTACGGTGAAGCAAGACATTCTTTGGACGGCGTATAAGAAAGTGCAACTTAATAAGAGACCGTGTTATTTACTATATCTGAACGTTACCAACCGGACTGATTACTTTTACGGGCCACATCAGACCGTAAACTGTATATTTCCCACCCCTCTTCCACCCCATATAGACTGGCCCCCATAATATCGCTCGCCCCCTTGCCCCACTCGCCATAAAGAAATATGGTCAATCACTTACAGGATGCACCATTTCTTAACATTTAAATCAATTTCTATATATATTATAATATATAACTGTATCAATATCTGTAGTTTTTGTCTCAATTTCATTTTTTTTAATTTAGTATACATCTGATGAGACAAAATATAATTTACATCTTGAACTAAAACGACAGTTTCGACTGCCCTATCAGAATTAACTTACGGATGATTATTGATGCTGTTATACAACATTTCAGCCCCGAATCACTGTTCGAAGCTATGCAGTACATTTGGTTTCTCGAGAAACAGCAGCATTGCTGTTTGCGACCTCTCGGATCATTCCTATCTGAAGTTATAATTTTAGTCTGTGGTTAATAACTTATTAATACAAAATATAGCAACACCAAACAGTGAAATAAACATTAATATCTTTCATGTGAACTTTTTTTCGTAATTTAACTTAGTTTACTGTCTACAATTCATAAAGGATGACTAAAAATATACGTCATTGATAATTCTTGACATCGACATCAAATCTTACAAGAGAATCGGACGTTAGCATCACGCAAATAAATCATGGAATCTGTTAGTTACACATACAAGCAACTGACTTGACGAGGTGACTGGCTGGTAGAGGACACAAAATTATAAGCGTTTTATTAAACTTGTGATCTAAATAATTAGCACTTATAAAGCACATCTTCAAGGGCAGATTTGCACAGAGCATCAACCACTGTCAGAAAATAATGACAGCATGCATTTCGAGAAAAGAATAATTCTAAACAGTCGATCGGTGTCATTAACCGGCCACTCCTGTCGAAGCAAAATACTGCGCATTACGTCATATTAGGTGTCGTTATTCTAAACGAAAAAAGACGATCACAAGACTTGACTCCAAGCTATTCATGCCTGGTATTCAAAGAAATGTATTGCTGGTATCATCATCGGAAATTTCCACAGCTGGTCGCACGAGAACAAGGCGTGTTGAGATATGAGATCCACGTTGGTAGATCACGATTCGCGTTGACGTATTGCTTAAATTACAACTTCCGGAAGTGAAACGTTTCATGTAAGTTCGTGTGAGGAAGGGCGGATTTAACCAGATACAAAGATACTATAATGAAGTACATCTTTCTATCACTTCTCAGACAGCGATTAGTATATGGACCTGAAAATTTCATACTAGTCCACAACTTGAGAAAGGCAGACGTACAAGTTGATACTTTTTAAAGTATTCAATAATTTGTTTTAATCCTGCCAGAACTCATACTGTCTACATGTTATTTTCAGCATATTCTGTATTATTCTGTCAATTATTTTATGTGTAAAATCTACATTAAATTATTCCCAGGTATCAAAATTCTTTCCTTCTGCGGAGCATACCACTAAAATAATAAATAATGAATGAATTTGCACTGAATTGGTAGTCTTTGTAGGCTTCAGAGACATTAACAACTCCTTTTCTGACACATTTTATTATATTATATTTTGTTCTGATGAGCCGGGATAGCTCAGTCAGTATAGTGACTAGCTACGGGCTGGACGACTGGGGTTTGATCCCCGACAGGGGCAGAGGATTTTTCCTCTAGACTCTGCGTCCAGACCGGCTCTGGGGCCCACCCAGCCTCCTATCCAATGGGTACATGGGTCCTTTCCCGGGGGTAAAGCCGGCCGGGGCGTGATGCTGACCACTCACCCCCATCTAGTGCCGAGGTCAAGGAAGAGAGGAGCTATACCTCCACTCACCCCAAACGCCTACATGGCGTATAGCGGGACAAACTTTACTTTACTTTATATTTTGTTCTGAAGAGTGAGGTCTGTTGTATCCACAATTGCGCAAACCGCTTTTCAGATGGCATCTCTAGCTAGCAAGTTTAGGTCAAGAGGTAACGAGTCTGACTAATGGGTGTAAATGGAAGTGCCCACTGATCTCCCAAATTTCCGCAGTCGCAGCTCAATCGATGGTAAATTCCCTCTGCAGTAGATTCATGACCGTTAAAAAATCTTCAAGACACTGAGTAAGAGGCTTAATGACTCGAGACGAGAACTTAATTTTCATCCCCAGGCTTGTTTAATTTATTTTTATTTTTGAAAACTGCATTGCACGTTGGAATATAAAAGCAAAGCTCACTAAATGGAAGTATGTCTAGAGAAGTACAAGTCGCCCAACTAACCAAGAAATATCCCGCCTTTTACGGAATCTAAAGATGCATTGCGTGTTCATAAGAACCTTCTACTGGCACATCCTCGAACACTACTTCTTTAAGGTACACTTTAATATTATAATTGCATCTACGCTTACATCTCCCAAGTAATCTTGTGCTGCAGAAATCTTAATAATTTATTCCCTCACCTTACGTGGAATAAATTATTTTCATCCTTGATGTCACATGCGAAACTTTGGACATATAAACAATGTGTGCATAGATGGCCTATATCCGATCCAGAATTCTAATCATAGTTTGTGAATAATGGTCTTACCTGTTACATATTATGCGGTGTTCTCGACGTAATCTCCGTCTACATGTACACACTTGTCCCATCCAATGAAATGAACGTATAAAAATGGCGCCAATCCACATAGTTATTTTCGAGAAACTATGAATATTTCGGGCCAAATCTGAACAGCCTCCGTATACCTTGATCAACAGCTATTTCCACTCTAAACGTTTAAAACGCGACAGTGTCCTGTATCGACTACGCTTTTTGAATAATCATAATACAAATATAATCGACAAGATAGCATCTAAACCCCGAGTCAAACGCAAGTTCTTCGAAAAACTTACCCCACTCGCGATGAACACGGGAAGAAAGATCCACCCTAGCACCTGAAGTAATATTAGAGCCTGCAAAAGAATGAAACAAACAAGTATTAATCTCCCGGTTCTCTGTTTCTGTAATAAGCGTCTTCAATCTATTGCATTATAGGACCACGAAGAACATACTTATCGGTAGATTACAACATTTCGAAGAAACATACTATCTCCATCTTCAGGGCTGAAGATGTTTCTCCTAAACGTATCTACCGAGGAGTCTACACGGTGCCAAAACCCAGAACACCATTAACTGGCTAGACATCGTTTAATGCCACAAAACTTCTCAGGCGGTTGGTCGCATGAATTCGTAACAGAGGTCCAGATTTTGGTCGCCGTGAAAGATTCAAGTCATAAACAAGAATTCGCGTAACCTCCCAATCCGGGCTCCAGAAATACGCTCACCCACACAGGAGCATGAACGTAAACCAGTGGCGAGTATAAATACAGTACACCAAGTGACGCAGTGTGTAAGTTTGTGGGAGGAGGTGAAATATGTCAAGTGGCTAGTAGATGCATTTCTGGAGTCCGGCCTCAATATTCAATTTCACCTAAGTTTCGGAAAAGAAACATGGATGAGCGGACAAGACATCTTCATTTTGTTTATAATTTTATGAACTTCGTGCAAGGAACGCACGATGATTGCGTCGATACACGGTCGTTACTCACATTGAGTTCAAAGGCGCCGACAGCAATTCCAGCCGCGGCGCCGGAACCAGCCAGACCTATGAAGTGCTCGCTGCCGATGTTGCTGGCGAATAAGGAGGCACCAACCTGAAAGAGAGTGAACCGCTACGTCGCAAAATAACAGACATTACAGAAGAGGCGACAAACTTCACTACCGACAGAACGTAAAGGTGGTTTGAGGTTGCCAATCAGTGCAGACGTTGATCGTGAGAATTGTAATTAGTGATCGCTGTTCGAGTTAGGCAATTCCATAGCTTTGACGTTGGCCACTGTTAATAATGTGGCTACTGAGCCACAGAGTTGCATTCATGAGGCATATCGACACATTTCATAGCATGCACACTTGCCGATAAGAGGAAAGGGCTGAGAAAAAGCCATAACTCACCGGAAACCAGTGCATATATCGCCCAGCCAGAAAGTAGCCGCTGAGGGTGTTCCGGTTTGCGCGACATGCCGACTGGAACAAAGAGATAACACGTAAAACACACCCTGTATCATGGACAATTCATCACAGAGTAATGGCAGACCAAGCGTCTCAAACAAATGAACGGGCACGTCTGGGCTTATGTCAAATTCGCAAATACAGCAAGCCTCTTCCTTCAGCTGAAGTTCATTCAGCATGACACTTTCAGCAATTTCATCATTCAATCCAATCATTCACCTCTACTCTTGTTCTTTCAACTATACACCTACTCTCTCTTCCCTATTCCCAATTATATATTACTGATTTTATTCTACCATTTACATCTACTTTTATATTCCTTAGTTCTACAGCATTAGTACAATTATAAGCCAAATCTTCATTAACAATGAGCTATTTTCTACTCAAAAATTGTTTTTTCCATAGTGATATGAAAAAGTTGAAATGATATTGAAAACCTCTGGCAAATATAATTCTGAATACTGAATTTTGTTCACGATAAATAAAGCCCACAACCGAGTCATGCAATCCGAAGAAGTGACATAAAGCCACCGGACATTCTGTTAGCGCCTTTTGAAACAGTGTGCAATCTCCTTACTCAGTTCTCTTTACTTTTTAATTTATGCAATCCCAACAGCTCTTCGGCGTCATGCTGGACGAAAAAGGTATGGAACCAAACCTTATATAATCCACCAACATGAAAGAAACAGGTTTTGAACAAAACAAACAAAGCTTACATCACCGATGTCTACTGTCGGACGAGACACCCACCCGGGGGGGTCCTCTGGGTGTTCAAGGAGATTTCGCAGATGAAATCTCTTGTGGTGGATTTTTTTTAATTGGGAAAGAATAAGTCTGAATTTCTGCGATGATGTCGGCTATCCTGGCTATGATGTCTGATGATTTCCTTTGGTCCATATGAGTATCGAAGAAATCCTGTGAACACCGGCTCAGCCGCTTCCTTCTCCATCTTTCCAATTCACCACACATTCTAAATTCATTGGACATCCAACAATCCATGAATCGATATCAGATCATCAAACAACCATCAAGATTAGGTTCAGCTCTCGACATCACGCACTTAGAACGCCCTTGTATTATCGACCTGGTGGCGTATCAGGCTGGCAGCTGGTTGCCATGGTTACCGAATTCTATCTCAGTCTCTTCCTACACAAGTCAAGAGCTTGTTGCCGTCAGGAGAGGCTTGGCTGGCTGCGTAGGCACAACGGACTCGTCCTTGCTTCTCTTTACCCGTGACCTTGTGTCTGGAGTACTGTAGTGAACCAACCTTTGTTTACTCACGTGTTTACTATGCACCCATCATGCACTGGGACTTTCCGGAAGAGGAAACAAGAGCGAAACGGTGTGTACAGGAAAAAAAATAAATAAAATGGAAGGATGGAAAGACGGAGACTTGCCGTGAAGATGAAGGCGATACGTTCCTCCGAAACGTTGGTAAACCCCCACAATTCGAAACAGCGTCACAACCCGGACGACCAAAATCAACACCTTCACCGTCGCGGGAATCTTCCGGCCCCTTTGAATGGTTTGCAACATTTTATTTAGACACTTCGGAAAGTATTCTAGATTTGGGAGGGCAAATCTGGGGATAAAACTGCATTACTATAGGTAGAAGCTGCATACCCCTGCTAAACACCTCCCTCCCCGAACTCGGTAATTCCGAGTGTAAAGTAACAAATAGTTTTTGCCTATCCTACAATCCAAACAAAACGAATACAGACGCTTACATCAAAGAACTATGAAGCCCACATCCATATTGTCATTGGCTTCGTGCCCACGGTATTTCATAGCACAGTTTCGCAAAACAGCCGTTTGCACATACACTTAACAGTCCTGACTTATCTTTGTTTCGCAGACTTCATTGAAATAGGTATGTGTGTGGTAAGACAAAAGTCTGTCTTTCCAACATATGTACAAATACGTTGGTATTTCATCCCAAATCCTAAAATCAATCGGAGTGCATGACGTAGACACAACGTCAAACCACTGATTCCAGCTCATAATTAAAGGCCTGATGATTATGCAGTCTTTGTCAATCCTGGGCTATTCGAACCCAATAAAATTTAACTACGCACTCTGAAAGTGGACTTGACCATTTTCCGCAGTCGAAACACAACGGCCTCCATAAAATAATAGAACTGTACTCAAATAGGAGTGATCGCCAGCCATGGCCTTCATCATGAAAGACACCTTGCCCGGAGCTATCACGTTTGGGGATTAGTATTGTTCAAATGGATGACTCACGGCAATTAAGATTCTGAACAATTTTTACACTCATCTTTATAAATGCAAGTTCAGCATCACCAGTGTCTTCGGGTTGGCAAACAGTCAAATGCGACATGTCTCAGAGATCTGCACCATCGTGTGTGACTAACAGAATTGCAATCATTGCATATGGGATGGAGAGGGGAGGAGAATGGCCCCCACGAAAGCAGAGATTACTTACGTAATTTCGAATTTGTGTCGCTTGTGTTAGAGGTCGAAAGAAAACGAGTGCACGTGATTCAGCTTTGACACGTTCGATTATCGGCGAATCACTAGGAACTTATCTTTTCTGAGTTAAATTTAGCTAATTACGGTGCACAGGCAAACCTGGTGGTATTGTACGAGGGTTACTCCAAAAGTAATGCACCATATTTAAAAACAAATCCCCTTTTCTGTTATCGAGTATCCAAAGTGCACTCAAAATGAACAGGTTGGATCCGTATTTTTTATTAATCAATATCAAAGCTGGGCATTCCATAGCAGGACGCACTGCCATTGACGTCACTGGCAACAAATAACCACAGTAAATGGAATAGAATCGCTAAATGAAATAACTGATCGAACATCAGCTAATAACTCCAATACTGAAAGGCGGGGAGTGGTAGTTACAACCGCTGCTAAAACTTTTTGTTACCTGGCAATTTTGTGTCTTTTTAGTCCGTGCAGGAAAACTCTGAAACCATGCTTTAAAAGAAGTCATGCCTGCTCCTTCAACAACATAACCAAACGACTTCTCATTCAATATTACAGGTAACTTATCCAGCTAATAAAGCGTCGCGAAAGTAACCAAATAAAGAAGAAAGTACTGAACGTGGAGTCCTCCAGCCTTCCTCAAGAAAACAAAAGAACAACTGGCAGTTCCTGGGTGACCCTAAGCCGCGCTTCATGAACCAACTGCAGTTAAAGACTGTCGCTGATTGTGAGATACAGAACAGGTTATGTCTTCTTTTTTTACGGAGGAAAACATGGACAGATGCCTGTTCTTAGCAGAAATAATAGCTTTTCTTCTGTAGGAATAAAATCACGATTAACAATAGCAAAGAGTCTTGTAGGTCAAGGTCGAAGTTAAGATCATCACAGGAGCAAACTAAGACTACGTCAGTCACATTTTATGACATCGAAGCGAACACTGCACACGATAAATAGGGGGCACGTGTATTTGTCTGTACGTAATATTCAGAATGCGGGAAATTAAGCAGTTCCCAATTGCGCGGCACATTGCAAGGTCAACATATTTTATCACTCTTCACTCCTACCGTAAACATACAGGGTGTCCAAGAAAGAGTTCATACATTTTAAACATTTTTATTGAGAAAATAAACAGGGCCACGAGAGTACAGTTGTCATCGCATGAAACAGCAACGCAGAAAGGTTTTTCCTCCACCTTTCTCCATTTCATTGCACTTCGACCTCGCACAATGTCCACCCGGTATTCAAATGCCCGGAAAGCGTTGCCACAAATTTGAGGCGTGAGTCCTTCCACAGAATGGACGATGCGGTTTTTCAAAGCTTGCAAACAAGTGATTCGTGTGTACCCCCAAAGGAAGAAATTCCATGGGCGTTAAATCCGACAATCCTGCAGGCAATGCAAAGGGCCCATCTCTTCCAATCCATCTTCCAGGAAACGTTGTGTGTGTGTGTGTGTGTGTGGGGGGGGGACTTTCTGAGTTGCTGTTTCATGTGAAAACTGTAGTCTCCTAGCTCTGTTTATTTTCTCAATAAAAATGTTTAAAATGTGCGCACTCTTTCTCGGACACGTGTAATTAAACTCGTTTGAAGCTTCATGTGATGGACGACACATAGAGCCTAGTAAATGCAATTATCCCTTATAAAGTAACACTACAAACAGTGTGTATCTGTCGCCTTGTATGACTAGAACACTAAAAGGAAAAACGAGTAAATAAAAAATAAACTTACATAAACGCTGACAGTGAGGACCACAACGTAGTATATCCCAACTGCCACATAGTCGTATGTTTCCAGCGAGCCCTGATGATATTTGGGAGTCTCCATCTGAAACAAGATTTTACAGA